ATAACGTACAGAACCCAATCCGATCCAATCTGACCCACGGTTTAACAAAGTTCTTACTTTTTACGGCTAAAGAAATTTACTTTATAGAAACTCAAATAAATAAATCACTTCCAAAATTTACCTTCTCTTCCTCAAGGGTCTTCGGCCAAAGCAAAGACCTTTCGGCACTCTTCTTCAAGCCTGGCCTACGAATTAAACAATATAAAAATCGATGTTGTAGAAATGTAGCAAGAAGCATGGTCTTCTCAAACCGAAAGATGATATCCCGGGAGTATTGGTGAGCTATCCTTTCGCCTGGGCAAAATCGAAAGGCAGATAAAGCGTACATACGTCCAACCGACTTACACAAAACATGGACCTCACTTTTATCATGCATAGAATACCGAATATCGATCAGTTCCAAATCTATAACATTTTTGACAACACCAAAATATAAAAACAAGGTTGTGCAAAAAGTAGAAAAAATATAATGTTTGCACACCGGGGATCGGCCTCTGGTCTGGTTTGTCAAATTTCGCTATCCTTAATGCCTAGACTGTATGGTAATGGTAAGGTAGAAAACATAAGCAAATATAACCAATATGAAGACGCCAACCACGTTACAACTAGCGTATAAACGAATTAGCAACATAAACCAAACAAGTATGTCGTCATTTTCATCAAGCATAGAGTGTTGATCATCGATTCATTCGTAATTCATCTTTTTTAAAAAATCAGGTATTGGTAGAATAAACAAGTTCAGATAAAACACGGCAAGAAAAACGATGTTTTACACCGGGACATGAACTTGGACTTGCCAAGTCGAACCTTGCTACCGTTTTGCATAAACTCAATGAGAAGTCAAGCAGAAGCAAACATTTACACAATTAAAGACACCACACCCGCGCAAATAAAATAACCAGCTGATATATGCATTAACACGCATCTCAAACAACACATCATCAACATCAAACATAGAATTCGATTCCCATTTTTATAAATTACTTATTTATTTTTAGGGGTTGGCTACATCAAATGTCTAAGTATAGTAGCTCAAATAAGGCATACCGACGCTTAACAGGGTTGCTTGGAAAAGGCTTTTGAACCGATTTACCCTCTTGACAACCAGAACAAACTCTTGGCAACGTTCATCGATATAGAAGAAGCGTCTTTCATCCTTCCAGTAGCTATTATCTTGCGAAGAACATCGTTTGGTGCGTGGACCATACGCGCATGAAGATCAATCTTATAACCATGCTAAGAAATCGCTGTGAAGTCCTAAGCCAAAAATGACCATCAACCAGGTCAGCTATCGCCACCACCTTCTTTGTTCTCTTGAACTGCGATGTTCATGCTAGCTCCATCAAACATTACTTGAAAGCAACCTGTTTTTTGATCTTCGGAACGTACAGCAGTTCCTTGAATATTTTTAGAACGTAAAGCGCGTCCTTGATCTTGATATCGCGTATGTTTGTTGGGTAGAACCACTTGTTCGATTATAGTACCCACACCCATGATAGCAGCTTTGTTTCCGTCGGCTACCGAAGGGCTCACCACGGTCCTGCACATCCAGGGTTGCAAACTTTGACTTATCGTAGCAAATGTGGTGAGAAGCACCACTCTCAGTGGCCCACATACCCGGCATTTCTTTACCAGACGATAAATTGCAATTCCAGGGATACTGCAAACGAGATTCGATTGTAAGAGTTGTCGTTATTGAGCTGATATTGTACGTTGCTAGCTTCGCGTCCAGGACGATGCGCGCTGCGTCGGGCTCCTCGAATATTGCCCTTTTGCTTGGATCAGCATCGTCCTACCGTATGCCCCAATTTACCGCAATCAGCGCGCTGGCGGGACTCTTTTACGGCGCCGAACGTCCTGCGTCCGTAGCTCTGCACTGCTCATCTCCAAGTTTATTACGACGTTCCCGGAGCTCTGCTCTGCTCATCTCTAAGTTTATCACGACGTTCCCGTAGCTCTTTGGTAGACTTTGAAGTAGACAAATTGCGACGTCCTCATCCTCCATCTCTTGGCGCTAATATTGAGTACTTCGTTCCAATGATGATAGATGTTGTCGCCTTCCGCCATCTCCATGCTGAATAGTTGACGCTTCAAGTAAATGCGTCCAGCCTTCTGTGATCTACCGTAAAGCATCTAGATTAAAATCTAGGCAGCATAGGCTTCTTCGCAGCCGTCTACCACATGATGATTGTCCGCATCCATATGCAGTAAGAGCAGGCCGAATTCAATGCTGCTGGTTTTGACGTGCTCGTCCACCAGTAAACAACGAAGTCGCATCTCGGTTGACCACGTGCCGCACCGACTTTGCGCGGAATACGCCACGCATGTAACGGCTCCACGTGGCATATTTGCCCCGCTAAATTTGTCGACAAGTAACTGCGTCGAGTTACCTTGCGTTGAGGACATGGTTGTTGCGTTTATTAGTATACTGAGGCTGCAGACGAGAGCTGAAAGATCTTTGCTTTGGGCAAAGACACTTGAGGGAAAAAAAATAAATTTGAAAGTGCTTGATAAATCTTTGGGTTTACATACCGTAACTACTTTTGACCGAAAAAAACTATATTAATCTGCGGTTCAGATTGGACCGAATTAGATTGTGTTCATTATCTGATATCCATAATATATATCAATTTATTTTAAAGTACTCATTCCTCTCAATAATGATAAAATGGTTACAAATTTATGTAAACAACCTTCTAAAAAGGTTGAATCAATTACAAATATGGGGTTCGCATTCTATGTTTTGGGTTGATGGTGGGTTGACTGAGACGCGTGTTAATACGTATATGAGCTGTTTATAATATATGCGGAGAAGTGGTGTTATGTAATTAGTTTAGGTATCAAAATATGAGTCTTATGGTCCGTGTATAACCATTTCTCAAGATATTTGACAGTTAAAAAAAGTTTATAAATGGATTTTGATGTAAGGCTGAAACCTTAATATAACGCTTAATGAGATAAATGACCTCGATGAAGAGAAGACATGTCCTTGAGCACTTTGTCGGTATGTATTCAATACGGGTATATGAGATAAATGTTTTCTATTATGTTAAGCGTTAACTTTAAGTTTCAGCCTTACCTCAAAATCGATTTCTAAACTTCATTTTTAAATTGTCCAAACCGTTGAGCGATGGTTAT